CCCATCCTTATTTTTCGCTCAAAAATTTGGGCAAAAAAGTGCGCATCATACACGACAACATTCCTTTAGCCCTTGCAACAATCCTATGAAGTACGTATCTTATTGTCCCTAAATTCCAGTTGAGGGAACAGGCCCAAGGGACTCACCTGGGAAGTGAACCCGCACAGGTTATTGCTCACAGCAGCCACTAAGCGACAACAGTCAGGCTTCAGGCCCAGGCAGCTGCCTCCAGACCCTGGCACCCGATGGGGCTCCTCTCTGCTCTAGGCCTGTGGCACGCCCTCCTCAGTAACCTCCATGGGTTTGCTTCCTTGTGGACAAAAAGTGGAGATGGTGCCCTTCCCATATAGTTCTGTTTCAGGCTTAAATGAGGAAACACGTGTACCTTGTTGACAATGGTACCTGCTACTTACTGAGTGCTCAGTAAACTGTAACTGAGGAAAATTAGTCAGACCCTGTCTTAGGAGCAGTTTGGTTTTTATTTCTTATTCATTTGTCTGTCTCTCTGTCTGTCATCTATTTTTGCTCCAAGAACTCACTACTTTCCTGTTTCCCAAGAAGAACCTGAGGAAAGGGTGGAAAGAGCGGAAGGGAGGCCGCGGGATGCAAGGCCTCCGTGCCTGGAAGGAACAGGAGTCCTCGAATGGAGATTTCCATCTCTGTGCATCTAGGGAGCCACAAACCACAGGCTCTTTAATTTGTTGTTTCTCTCCTGCTTCTCTCTCCTGTCTCGTGCTCTGGAGGCTGAATGGGCTGACTAAGCGAGGAAGGCGGCAGGGCGCGTTGTCCCTTTGTGATTTTAGGTCTGTGCACCCCTAGTGCCTGGACACTTTGACTCCCAGTTTTTGGAGAAGATGGTGCCCCTGAGAGAGCGGCCCCGATGGGAAGGGATTACTGTCCGAGCTCTGTTCCATCCTCTCCCGCCAGCACCTGGCACCGTGTCTCACATGTCGTGGTTTTCAGTAGAGACTTACGATTCAGTGCATTCATGTGCAGGGTCCCTATTCTCTATATCAGTTGCTCTGTCCCTTTTTTGGAGGGAAGCTATTGCTGAGTTCCCCCTGGAGCGGGTGCATTGAGACAGCGGTGGGAAACCCCCCTTTAACTCAGTTTGGCTAAGACCAGGGTAGTTTTTCAGAAGGGCTTTTTCCTTATAAACCAAGTGCAAGCCGAATAAACACAGGGTATAGAAAGAGAAAGCGTATTTTGCTGTATGATTCAGCTGCAGTCTGTTCCTGGGTTGGCTGGGCCAGCTCTGCCCTCGCCTTACCCCTTCTCTTTCTGAGTTAAGTTCTTCCGTTACCGGCCTGAGGGGGCTTTGGGCTGGCAGGGCCCCAGGCTCTGGGGCTCACTGACGCCCTTAGGACAGCCTGCTTCCTGACATTGTGCACTTCATGGGGACTCGCTCCCATGATTGCTTAAGCCAGCCAGGTGATCTTGGTGGCAGTTATTGTTAAATTTAAAAAAAAAAATGTTTAATGATTTCGAATAGAATTGTGTTCTTAGGGTACAAAATTTTAAAGATATCATGAGCTCTATGGTGAAGAATCTCCATTTCTGGTACCCCAGAAACTCAGTTCCCATTTGCACCCCCCCACCCCAAAGATGATAACATAACAATTGTTTTTTGTCTAGTCTTCAACGCTTCTTTATGCCCATATAAGAAATATTTATGCAAAAGCAGCTGGGGATACTTGACCCTTTACACAAGGTCCATAAGAACATGGTGTGGCATCTGGAAGCTAGTGCCCCCGAACTTCAGGGAATAAAGTTGACTGTGGGGTCCTGTTGCCCTCCCTTATTTCCAGCAACAGCTCCAACCTTTTCACCCTCTTACTTGGGTAGACGGAGAGGAAGAGACAAAACCCCAGTGTATTTATACATAATTTTTAAAATGTATATGTGTTGTGTGTATGTTTAAAAATCAAGGTGCTATATACTTCCATGCCAAGGGCCTCTTGGAAAGCAAATGACATTGCTGCTACAGAACAGCAAGTGAGAGCCATTTTAACAGATGGCTGTGTTGGTAATATGTAAATAAAAATGTGTATGTGTATTTTTCTCTTCTTCTGCATCTTGCATTTTTCTTTTTACTTCATGAAACTTAGATCTTTTCATAGTATTACATAGAGCATTTCTTCATTCCCTTTTGTTTTCTCTCTGCTGCACAGAATCCCGTGGTCCGGATGAACCATCATTTTTCTGTGACCTCCTCAGTGATGCACTTTTATGTCGACTTCTGTATTTTGCCGCAGTGAAAGCTCTGTACTCATATGCAGTGACCTTGTCTAACTCGTAGCCCCCTCAGACAGAAATAAGACGGAACTTTGTAAGGGACAGAGGAGTTTGCTGATTGGCCCACCCAGCACAAGAGAGTGTTGACTTAAATGGTCAGATAAGGTCAACTCTGTTCAGATAATTCTGTATGAAGATACCTAGTGGAAAAGGTTTTGAGCTGGGGACTTGGTAAAAGGACAAATGTGTGGTCCTCTTCCCAAATCTAATTATAGTTCACTGCGTCTAAAGTATAGAAGGCAGATTCCCACACCTGTGTCTGGTCCTTTCTCAGTGAAGGATGGAGATCTCCCTTATCAGTGTGGTGGAAGCCCTCTGTGTTCTGCCACTTTATTCTTATCCATCACCATCTAGCCACCCCCCCCCCCGCCACCCCCGGCATGGCCGCTTCTAACTTCAGAGTCTTTTTTGCTCAGCCTTTGTCTGGGCAGTTGCATCAAGTTCATTCTTTAGCCTCCACGCCATCATTAGCTGATTCTTACCTCCAGCTTTTTTGTCCTGTGACATGCCGCAGAATTCCTGCCTTGGCCGTGGCCTGCCGCAGCCCTGGCTATGCCGTGAGGGGCCATGCCTTCCCCTCACGGCATCCTGTAGCCTTTTTGCCGTCCCTAAGAGGTAGGGGAGGAGCACTCTTGGATTTCTCAGTTGGGCAGCATCATGGTCCTCTTGGAACACAGCTCTGAAATGTCCCTGCACGGTCATCACGTTTGTCATCATGTCCAGCCCCAGACAACGACTGTTACACGTGGGTAGATCCCTCTTCCGCCTTGTTCCAGGAGGGTCTCCATGGTTCTTGACCTTGAAGCCTACCCTACCACTGACCTCTTTCTCTTTCCATTTTACCTGAAGTGTTCTTCATGAGCACAGTGTTTTCCCAGCGTAGGTTCCTCGGGCTTCCGTGTCATTTGGTCTCAGAATCACGTTTGTCCCTCAGCATCGTGAGTACTAAGCTCCGTCAGGGAAACTGTTCGGAATAGCCCATTAATGGGACTCTTTTTCCCTCGTTTTGATGAAGTGTCTTCACCTCGGGCTTGGAGACTTCCAAATGGCCATGAAGAGTCAGTTGGCAGGTGTTTTCCCTCAGAAACGGCCTCCTCACCTTCCTGTTTCAAAAAGCCTCCGTCAGGGGCTGCCTACTGGGTTTCTGTTTCTCATCTGAGAGACGCCTGTAGCCTAGAAAACCCTGATGACCTACCTTCTCTTGGTCCAGTGACTGATGCAGCCTTCCATCTCTGTCAGACCTGCCCTTATCTGGGGGGACCCCCTGCGTTCTATTGATGGGGAGGCCTTTCAGGGGCTTGCCATTAAATTGGATTTCAGAATGCAGTATCTGCCACAGACACATTTTCTGTTTTGGGAAGAAGAAGGTGTTTTTCTTGCTCCGCACATATTTGCAGCTGTCAAGGGATTTTTCTGGTACAGAAATTGAGATTGTGGGTGTCTTTTTCTTCTGTCTCAATCTCACTGTGTCTGTATTCTGCACAGAAAACCATCTCTCTGCAACTTCCTGTTTATCCTCCATGCGGGAATGCATTCTGAGGGGAATTAATACCCAGCAGGTGCTGTCAGAAGCGTTTTGCTCCTTAATAACCGTGGCTGGCGGGATGAGTAAATGAAATCATTTGAAGTCATGAAGGGTGTGTTCCCAGGGACCTCACTGGACCTGGGAGCCAGTTATTCTTGTTTTTAGTTCCTTCACCTGGTTTGGGTCAAACTAAAGAAAAAGCAGTAGGGAGGGTCCCATGAATTGTCACGAGGAGAAGGAGATCTGGTGCCAATATGCCTATTTTTCATTTTTGTTCTTAGCACTTAAGACTCTTTGGATTTATCTTGGGATTGTGTTTCTTAACATACTATCCACCCACACCCCTCTCCCTAGAACGGAAGCTCCTTGAGAGCCGAGACCAAATCTGTCTTGTGTGTATCTGTGCACCTGGGCTGGACCCGTCTCCAGTAGTGAAAGGGCAGCTCACTGACTGTTGCTTGGATAAATAAGCCCTGGCCCCTCTACACACACACACTGTGGTCCCTTTGTAGGACTGCCTCAGTCTCTCGGGGATGGGCAGTGAGTACCTGCAAACCATGGCACCAGGTTGAATGTCTCCAATCGATTTGGGGGGGGATGGGATAGGGATTGTGGGAAAAGATGTTGAACTTTCAGGTCTGGATTTGAATCTTAACTGTGCCACTGACTTATTGAGGGGGCTTCTCTGAGCCTGAATTTCTGTATCTGCAGAGGAGGGGTAATAATGTCCCCTGCCTCCATACACACATACTTTATACTCTTTGGTTGAAGAATGCATGAAAAGTGCATTTTTCACCATAAAGTTGGCAAATGTTGGGGCGTGCAAAATGCAAAATGGTGGTCTTTCTCTTCCTTGGTTTTCTGTTTGTTTGTGTGACACGAAGCCAGAGGCCCTGGCCTGCCGCCACCAGCTCTGCTAGTTCGGGTCTCTGGGGGCTGCCTTCGTGAGAAGGTTGTCTTTGTGAAGCAGAGAGCGGATCCCCCTGTAGGATTTTCATCACCCCAATTCTCTAAACACATGGGTAGGGCAGTATTACCAGGGCCAAGGAAAGTGCGCCTTTCTGAGGCCTGGCCTTGGTCCCTGTCATTGGACAGCACTCCATCATCGTCATCGGTCTGTGACCGGGATAGCAGGAGCTGTATCTCCAAGGGCTGGTTGACGGTGTTTCTCTTTCCCCAGGCGGCTGCTGAAGAGTGAACTTGGATCGTTCATTACAGACTATTTCCAGGTAAGCTGGCTGGGTCTGAGCACCTGTCATTATTGTGCATGTGGGAACGTGTACCTCAAGGAAAGGCCGATACTTCACACCTGGGCATTTGTTCCTCCAAACATCCAAAATTATGCATCCCGTGTTACTGTGCCCTGGGAAGCAAGTGTGGTCCCTGCTCTTACTGAGATTATAGTCTTGGGTAGTAGTTCTCAGGCTTTTTGGTCTCAGAATCCCTTTATGCTCTTAAAAATTATACTCATTTGGATTATCTCTACTCTCGTCACCATTTTAGAAATTAAACCTGAGAAGCTTTACAGTATGCCTTCATTCACTTAAACAATAGCCCTATTACATTTTAGCATGAACATTTTTATGAAAAGTCACTTTCATAATAAAAAATAGAAGAGTGGCATTGTTTTGTGTGTTTACAAATTTCTGCCCTATGCGGCTTCTTAGAAGGTAGCTGAACCCTCCTGTCTTCTTCCTGTTCAGTCTATTGTGATATTGTCTGTTGTGTTGTTTCTGGACAGCTCCACAGTACAGTCATGGAGGATGCAAGGTAAACAGGAGTCTGGCGTTATTAAGGAAATAGTTTTGACCGTGTGGGAAGGTTGGGGGATCCCCTGGGGACCCCCAGCTTTGAAAACTGCTTTTCTAGTGAAATTCCCTCCCACATCTATGTATGTATTTAATTGGGTTAATTTACATGTCCTTTAGCCAAGTTATTTCTTGTAGAGAAGCCTCTTGGTCTTTTCTGTTAAAGATAGAATTGTATCAGATGATTTAACATTTATCCTGCCTAAACACTATTGTTATGGCTCAAGTAAGTTCAAGGCTCCAGGTTCAAATAGAGGATGGTTTCTAATCCCCTGGCATAGCTGGCTTCCTACCTTGACCCAAAGGCACAAGGAGAGAGGTGTTGTGTGACACCTTCATGAAGTCAGAATGCCCACTTTTTGGCTGACAGTGATGTTGGGCAAGGTGCTTCGCCTCTCTGTGCCTCAGTTTCCTCGTCTGTAAAATGGAAATAAAAGTATGGCCTGCCTTATAGGTCATTGTATGGTTTATATGAAATAACACATGTAAAGCCCTCAGCACTTGGTTTATGAGGGGGGCAGCATATGAGAATGGTCAAGAGCATGGCTCTGAGCCAGGCTTCCTGGGTTCAACACCCACCATAGACCCTTACTAGCTGTGTGACCTGGAGCAAGTAGCTTTACCTCTCTGTGTTTTAGTTTTCTGTTCTGTAAAAACAGGGGTCATTGGACCTAACTGTATAGAGTTGTCGTGAGGACTAAATAAATTATTACTTGTAAAGCACTTAGAACGGTGAGTAGCACAAAGTAAGACAGTAATAAGTATTCACTACATTTTTGTATGTGCATCTGTTATTCTAAAGTGTTATCTACCTCTTTTAATGAGAAAGTAACAGGAAAACCCGTAACATCCTGGTTTCAGGTTGGTGGTAGTCTGTATGCAAGGAGAACGTAGTTCCAAGACAGTTTAAAGAGGTTTTAGGTTTTAAAAACAACATAGGCATACTTTTGTTTATTTTTTTCTTTTCATGATTCAGGAAACAAACTTTTATGTGTGCTTTATAAGAATAACCAATGTCAGTCATTACACACACATGCGCGCGCACACACACACACACACACACACGGTGGGAAACAGCTGCTCTAAAGGGGAACACAGCAAGACCCTCCAGAAGCCTGGAATTCAACTGGGTCAGATGTCTCAGCTGCTTGAAAGAAAGCGCCTGCCCTGGGAGAGATGGACATAAAGATTAAGGAAGAGATAATTAGTCACAAATGTGAACCATTTCAGTTGCCCTTGACTCAAAGGTCAGCGTTGTCCTCAACTCTCTTCTCTTGCTGCCTCTAATGATTGATTTTTAAATTCAGCTACAGAGAAGTGGTTTTTCAATCAGTCTTGGAGAAGCCTGCCACCCCAGCTGCCTTCCTTGTTGACATTTAAAATAGACAGGGTTTGGTGTGGTTTTGATCAGGTTTTAAATGTCAAGTCGCCTTTTGGCTCGGGGGGCAACCCTTAGGGTGGGTGGGGCTGGGCATGTGGGTGGGGCCTTGTTTATCTGAGGAGGCCCTGAGGTTCGCTGGACGGTTACTGCTGCTTTCAAACTATGCCAGACACTTAACAGCTAATAACCACAAGTCATTTTTCTATTGAGAGCTTAATCAGAGAAACTGCTTGGTGACTAGTGAGTCTCTGGGGGTGGGGGATGCGCCCTGGTTCTCAGAGTTTAGAATCTGGGGTTTTCCTTCACGTAAGGTGCTAGATGGGAGAGGAGGCTATCCTAGACACTGTTTATTCAAGTGTGGGTTTTAAGTTTCATGTGAGCACAGGGCCTTTTTTACTTTTAAATATGTTTGGTCCTCCAGCCCTTAGAAAGTACCAGGCACATAGTAGATAGTCAGTGAACCTTCTTAGGGGAAACAGAGGGGTTGTCCGCCACTGACACATGAGACATTTTAGGTGGTCCATGCAGTGGCATTAAGTAACCTTAGCCCGTGTGGTTAGAAAGTGTTTCCCTTCCTCATTTCCCTTTAGTTTTTCTGATTGTGCCAGGGAGAGCCTTGGTTTGTGCCACTGTCTCAAACGCTTCTGCAAGCCTGGTGACTTCCCTTGTTTAAGGAAGAGAGAGCAGGCCTCCCCCTTAGTGTCTTCAGCTGGGGACACTGTTTAATTAGGATTTTACAACACAATTTTGTTTGCGTTGAGCTGACCGCTGAGTTGCCCTCTACTTATGGCAAATGATGTTGCTATTGTATCCTTTTTAAACATGCACGCTCCTTAAAAGCGGGTCCATTTTTAATCCAGTATACAAAGAATAATAGTCTGGGCAACCCTGGCTATGGCCAAATTGGGAGGGTGGTTCAAGGGAAACTCAGGTTTGGAAAGCCCCATGCTCAGCTCTGCTTGAAAATGGGCGGTTTCCATAGACATGCAAAGAACTCTCCCTGTGAGCAGGAAAATCCAGGAGGGAGGGCTTACAGAGGCCAGCCTTTATGTTCAACTAGCAGATACAGTTTCAAGAAAAAAGCTAGATGGGCTCCCAGAAGTTCATTTCTCTGGCAAGGAGGTGGGAGGAAGGTCTGGGACAGGTGAGAAGCAGAGCCCAGGGGCAGGCAGGTAGCACCCCAAAGCCATGCGTGTGGTTGTTGGGGAAAGTCATGACTGGGTTGCTTGGCACGGGGCTTCTCAGTGTGGAACAGGATCAGATGGTAGCCTCCTGGCCATCTGCGTTCAGCTACGAAGTCTGCCTTCTCCTAGACCCCTAATCTGATTTCACCCACCACTTGTAAGGCCTTCTCTGCAGCTCTGCTTTTGAAGGTGAACACATTCATGTTATGGCTTTAAAGAAAGACTCACAGAAGGAATATCTTCAGTGGAGAATAATGAAAATGTTCCAAGGGGATGGGGGCGGGGGAGGGGCACATGGAAAATAGTGCTTATCTCCTGTCTGCATGCAGAGAACACAGGCCGTTCTATCTGCAACAGCAGAGATTCCTATGAGACACCGGCCGGAAGAATCTTTGCCATTTCTGGTATTGAGTTTCCTTTTTCCTCTGTCTGTTTTGAATTGTGCCCGGAAAGAAAATTGGGGGTTCTTAGAGGAACTCTATATCCTAGCGACAGCACTGAGGGATAATCATTTCCTTATAACTTTGGAAATTGGTGATGTGAAGTGCTCTGTGTAATTAGGTACCTTGGTGGTTCAGGCCATGGGGATGTGAGGGTTTGCACTTCGGTCTTTCTGCATCTGCTGACTGCATTGTGTTTGTGACAAGCTTTTCCTCAAGCCAAGAAAGTTCAGTTGCTTTTGGTTGGAGCTAGTTTTGCTTGATATAGAAACTCAATCTATAGTTAGTGGCTCTGAGCAAGGTAGCACTTAGGAAAAGGGAAAATTAGTCACCACAATTGCCAATAGGTCGTGGTAATGTTTGATATCAATATTTCCCTTTGCTACTCACATTTGCCAGAGTTCCAGAAGGCCCATTTCTCCTTAGCTCATTATTATCAGGGAAGATTCACTGGGCTCATGGCACATGGCAGAAAGCCAGAGGAGGGGACCCAGGGTTCCTGTCACCATGGCCTTTGATAGTGAAGACAGTGCAGAGATAAGGACGCGTCCACACAGGTAACACACAGTGTAGCGTTAACTGAAGATCTGAATAAATAGCAAGAGTCTAGAAACAGGCCCGGAATGAATATATTTTGTAGGGACAAAGATGGAACTTGAAGGAATCTATAGTAAGTTGGGTAGAGAGATATAGTAAGAGTGGGGAAAATTCTTTGGTGATTTTCAAGCCCACCTTAAATAGGGAGGAAGAGCTTTTTAGCTCTTCTTTGATTGATCTGGGAAGGCTCCTAAAATAAGTGGAATTTCCAAAGTGGAAAAGGAGATGATTAGGTGGATAAAGGGTAGTAAGGGACAATTCACACATACTCTGCTTTGAAGGTACAGTTGGGGCTGGTAGATAAAAGGGCTTTGAACAAGAGGAGCTGGACTCCAGGGAGAAGACAAGAAAGGTGAGAAGGTCGCTAGAGGTTGCATTTGGGATTTGGCCAGTACTTGGGAGAAAGGCATTATTGGGGGAGAATAGGGTGGTGCCAGTCAGGGTACGGCGGGGGGGGGGGCTGCCCACTGGGCAGTGGTTTCCTTTCAGCAGCTTTATTCTACTTAATCTCCTTGGCAGTTACTTTAGTTTTATGCTATTATTTCTATATTTTTATTATACCCTTCTCAAATATTATGAAGATAAATGGAAAGACGGATCTTGGAATTGATAACCATAGGGCTTCATATAAATGAGATGAAGATGAAAATCAATAGGCATGCTGAAATGGCGAATCTTTAGCCTCATTGGACTGAAGTTATTGCACATTCAATTGTTAAAGAAGGAACATGTAGGTACAAAGTGCTGAAAATACATCACCCAAAGATGAGCTTCAAATATGAGGTTAATTAGGGATTTTATAATCTCTTTAGCTTTATG